AGACCATCCCCCAGTACAGCCAAGTGCAGACCATCTCATACACCTGCACTCAGGCCCATGGTCCTAATCATCCTCTATGCAAACCTGCTGGGTAACGCCACGAGGCACTCGAGAAGGGCTCCCACAGGACATACATTAACATCCCACAGCAGAGTCCTACATCTTGCAGGCAACAGGAAGTCAACTGAGACATTGGGTGGTATTTGAGCATAGGAAACTTCAAAGCCCACCCCCACAGTGGCATACTTCCTACAACATGGCCATACCTACTCCAACAAAGCCACACTTCCTAATAATGCCTCTCCCTATGAGATTATGGGGGCCAATTACATACAAACCACCATATTCCACTTCCTGGCCCCCATAAGCTTGTAACAGTATTATAATGCAAAATGCATTTGGTCTAACTTCAAAAGTCCCCATGGTCTATCACAGTCTCAACAATGTTTAAACGTCCAAAGTCTCTTCTGAGATTCATGCAATCTCTAAACTGTAATTCCATATCAAATCAAAATAAAAAGGCAGATCACATATGTTCAACATATAATGGTACAGAATGTACATTGCCATTCCAAAATGCAGGAAGGGGAGCACAGTGAGGAAATACTGGACCAAAGCAGGACAGAAAACCAGCTGGGCAAACTCCAAACCCTGTATTTCCATGTCTGCAAAACACTCTTCAGATCTCCAACTCCTTTCAGCTTTGTTAACTGCAAAACACTTTTTTTCTCTTGGACTGGTTTCACTCCATGTTAGCAGTTTTCCTCAGCAGGTATTCCATGACTCTGGCATCTCAAACATCTAGGGTCTCCAAGACAATCCAGGCTTCAACTTCACAGCTTCATGCAATGGCTTCCCTACTAGGCCTCCATTCAGGGACACCCCTGACACATGCCTGGCCTCAGCAGCTTTCTTTAGGCTCAGAGACAAGTTGCATACTCTGTCTCTTCTATCATTAACTCTAAAACCATGTGGCTGAAGCTGCCTATTTCTGCTATTTACTGGGGCTGGAACATGGCCCCCTTGTTCAATTACACTTTCATCAGCTTTCTGTCCTTTACTGTCTAAGCTTGGCTGTCCTGAAACTGTTTCTCTAGATCAGGCTATCCTCAAACTCAGATCCACCAGCCTCTGTCTTCTAAGTGCTGGGGATTAAAGGCATGCCCCACCACACTGGGTTCTAAGCTTTTCTTTAGTTCCTTTTCACAAGCTGGAAACTTAGCTGGGTGGGATCTTGCCCTAAGGTCCCTATTTCCTTTATTCCATTTCTTAATTCTCTAATTTTCTCCTTGAACACAGGACTTAGCTCCATTCCACTTCCTAGTGCTCCTTTTCTCCTCAAAAATTAATTTACCTTGCTCAGCTTGCTTCTTTTTTTTTATACATCCTCATCAGAGTTAACACTAACAACCAAACAACAGAGTCTATACTAGGCTGTTTCACTTTAGCCTCAAGCAGACTCTTCAGATAAAGGCAAAAAGCAGCCACTTTCTTCACCAAAATATCACAAGACCAGGCGCTATGCCACACACTAATATTCTCTGTGAGAGCCAAAGTTACATTTTAAGTTTTAATTACTATCCCTAAGAGATCCATGAAACAAAAGGTTGCCTCTGCAAGCCCTTGACCAAAAACAGTTTTTGAAATTCTGGAGGCTATTGTTTATGGGTGATAACAAGACACATGTTTCACTCCCCTAAACAAGTTTGTTTGACCCATCTGCACTGGATGTGCTTGACCACATGTGGGAGGGAAGTTCACATGACCACATGTGGTAGGAAACATGTCAGGATGTGTGCTTGCTCCTGATTAGGGATAGGCAGGAAATATGTCAGGATGTATGCTAGCCCCTGACTGGACCTGATGGGCCCAATGCAAACCATTACTCGGGGCCATCTTCAGAAACCTGGAGATGGACCTGGCCAGAGACCATCAACCTGGCCAGTATTTAATGGAAGCTTGCTTCAAATTTGGTTTCAAATTGTGGTAGTAGTCTTATTCTTGACTCCTGGGATTAACATTTTCCTTTGAGACCTCTTGATCCTCATAGTTCATCAAGTCACATTCAGTTCCACTGTCTTCCATGCTCCTACTAGTATGGCCTATTAAGCAGTGCTTGAAGCATTCCCCTGCTTTCATAACCCAAAGCACCAATACAAAAACATGGTTAGGCCTTTCACAGCAATATCCCACTCCCTGGGACCAACTTCTGTCGCAGTGGTGCTGGAGTAGTAGCTGAGAGTCCCACAACCTGCAGCAACAGAAAGTCGGCTGAGACACTGGGTGGTATCCTGAGCATAGGAAACCTCAAAGCCTGCTCCCACAGTGACAGACTTCCTCCAACAAAGCCACACCTCCTAATAGTGCCACCCCCTGTGAGATTTGGGGCCCAATTACACTAAAACCACCACAGTTCCTTAGCCCAGTTTTAGACTTTCCCCCCCCTTCTTGTGGTCCTGGTACATTTGAACTGTCAGAAGCTTTGAATACCTGCAAGAGATCTGCACAAAATTGTGCTGTCAACATCCTGTCATGGGAGGGAGAAGAGCTCACAAGTCTACTCCTGCCCTCTGAGGGTTTAGTGGTTGCTGAGTGTGTGTGTGTGTGTGTGTGTGTGTGTGTGTGTGTGTGTGACATTTTTGTCAGTGGGTAAGTTGCCCGTGCTTTTGTAAGTAACCCCTCACCCATGTTCCTGAAAACAACCCTTATTATACTCATTGGGTAACACACGAAAGTGGAAAGAGGCTGCTTAGGAAGAGGAACTGGATCAGCAGATGGGGTGGACAAAGGAGGGCCATAGGTAGTGAATATGATCAAAGTAATCCATGTATGAAAATGTCATAATGAAATCCATTACCACATATAACTAATATATCCTAGCAAAAAAACCCTTAAAAAAGAGAGGGACTAAAGGTGTCTTTATGTATTTAAGTAAGTGGAAAACATGACTTAGTTAACTGATATTGCTATTTAGATAGAATTTGTAAATCATATACTACATATTATTAAATAATATGAATTTAAATAAACTGATAGCAATACAGAAAAGCGTTTTAATTTTTCACCCACAGTAGAAGTATCTTTTATTTTAAGTAAGTGTTCACACTTCAGTTAGCCTATGCTTCATACCAACACCCAAAGCTTGGAATGGAATCTTTAGGAAGGACGGGGTGATGCTCTGTGCTGACTGGGAAAGCAGGAGCTGTCTACCCTCCTTGGACACTTTACCCTGTACTGCTCTCGAACTCCCCCACCCCTGCCTAATGAGGGGCTAGAACAGAATTTTAGGAACTGGATATTTATGGAGAGGCCACTTACAGAAATTCATACAGTCTAGAGAGAAGGGAGGCACAATGTTCTGACATGCTGCAAAGCTCAGTCTTCCCAATTAAAGACTCTCTGCAGCCCTACGGGCCTAACTAGCTGCATCTTACTCTTTCAGCTAAAACTTTCAACTAGAAGATATTCTCCCCCAATCTCATTACAGAACTTTGACACAGAAATGCCTGTATTTTGCATAAAGCTGTTTACAAGAAAATGTGTTAGAATGTTTTTATAAAATAAGAGATACTGGCACTTTTTTCAGATAAATTTTGTAAACTTTTACTTTGCTTTTTTTCTAATATTTTTGATTGTATATCAGTGTTTTGCCTGCACACGTGGATGTGCTACACATGCATGCCTGGTACCCACAGAGGCCAGAAGAGTTGAGTGGACCCCCTGGGGCTGAAGTTACAGGTGGTTGTGAGCCATCATGTGGATGCTGGGAATCAACCCCAGGTTCTCCAGAAGAGCAGCCAGTGTTATAAACCACTGAACCATCTTTCCAGCCTCCCTGATTTGCTTTTAAAAATCTCAAGGGAAAAAAAATATCTCAAGGGAAGACACTTGAATGAAATATTCCTATACTCGAGTGTTAGGTTTGTAGGTATTGACATTTGCAGTGAGAGACCAGAGCAGGCCAAGAAAGGTCAAAGTGCATGCAAGACTGGCAGCATCATTGCACCCACTGTGCAGCTACTAATTTAAAGTATGTGTCTCTGTTTCTCAGGAGCTCTTGATGAGTTCCCTGCTCCTTGATTTTTCCATTTTGTAGAACTATGATCAGATCAGCATTCTGTACTGTGGAGAGTCTGTGAGCCACCACCAGGCAGGTCCTCCCTCTCCGGGCTTTTTCAAGGGCATGCTGAACCACCTGGAAAAGAAAAGGACCAAGTGACTGTCAGCTTAGGAAAGATGTTCATAAGCATGCCTAAATTCAGTCATTAAGGAAATCTAATGATGTTCTTTGCTGTACTTGCTTATTTTCAGAGGAACTGCCCAACTGTGGTGGTTTGAAGGAAAACAGACCCCAAAGGGAGTGGCACTATTAGGAAGTGTGGCCTTGTTGGAGTAGGTGTGCTCTTTTTGGAGGAAGTATATCACTATGGAGGTGGCCTTTCAGGTCTCATATATACTCAAGCCATGCCCAGTAAGGCAGACCACTTCCTGTTGCCTTTGTGTCAAGATGTAGAACTCTCGGCTCCTTCTTCAGCACCATGTCTGCCTGCAAGCTGCCATGTCCCACCATGATGACAACGGATTGAACCTCTGAACTGTAAGCCACCCAATTAAGTGGAGAAAAAGTACTCAGAGTAGGCCTGGATTGGAAGAGCATTTATGACAGTGGGTTATATAGGTAAGGAGATGGTCCCAAGATCAAAGCCAGTATTTCTATACCTGTGTCCCCCACCACCGCATTTTCTTCTAACCACAGAAAAGTCTGGGAAAACAGAATAAGCAGAATGTTCTCCCTACAGCAGCTTCTTACTTCAGACATAGACTGCTTTGCTAGTTGGTTTAGCACCAACGTAGAAGAACAATCTAGAAAAGGCCATCTCCCTGGGCTTTTCTTTACTGGACAGATACGTTCAGAATTGGCGTCATTTTGTATGAGAGGAACTCAAAGGTTGCCTGGCTTCAACCCTCTCTCCACCACCTCTGGGACTTCATTTCCCCAATCTGACCTTGTCTTCGTGATACTACCCACTCCTATTTGACACACAGAAAAGAAGGTGTTACCTTCTCGCTCTCATTGTCAAGGGCTGAAGTGGCCTCATCCAACAGTAAAATTTTTGGCTTCCGGAGAAGAGCCCTCGCAATAGCCAGTCTTTGTTTCTGACCACCAGAAAGCTGCACTCCTCTTAGTCCAACTTGAGTGTTGTATTTCTGTTTCAGGAACAGGCCATATACAAAGAAAGCACTTGAGCAACCGTGGGAAACAGACGTCTGAACAATTCAGATTTCGCTACTCTTGAAAAGGTGGGTCCCAACAAGTGCTGAAATCTATTCTAGGTCCATTTTGCAAATAAATGTGAGCCAAGGAGTCAATACTCCACGTCATTTTGCACTCTTAACCTGACCCCAAGGCACAGACCTTTGCTGTTATGCTTCTCTGAAGGAATTTTTTCTGACTTCCTTTCTAGCCTCTCCCTCCCTTCCTTTCTTTTCTTTCATTTTCCTTATTGAGATGGAGTCTCACATAGTCAGGCTGGCCTTGAACTCTTAATTAGTCAGTGATGACCTTGGACTTCTGACCCTCCTTTTTTCACCTCTTGAATACTGGGATTATAAGCATGTGCCAGCATGCCCCATTTTTGTGGTGCTAGAGATTGAACCCAGGACATTGTGTGCCCTGGGCAAGCAGGTTACCAACTGAGCTACAGTCCAAGCTTTGACAAAGGAAACCTCAGAATTAAAACACAAGGGGGAAAAATAATGAAGAAAAGTTCTTAGTCAACACCAAAGAATTTATATTACCTGCCATTTTCAGTTCAAAACAATTCAAAATATTTGAAACTACCAGGCAAAGCATGAGGTTTCCTCCTTCATGCTAATCCTTTGTGAGCATGTCCCCAGACGGCAGCCCTCACTGGCTATGTGCTTTCTGCAAGTCAGAGAGGCTGGCATTTATGTCCCACCCATACCAAAGCTCTTATGATGACATTCTGCTCCTCTCAGTGTCTCCATGATGTCCCTGCCATTGCCATAGCACTAACTTCTGTCCTCACTAGGGGTCTTTCTGGTTCTTCTGGGGTTTTGTTTTGTTTGAGCCAGGGCCTCAAGGAAAACAGTCTTAAACTTGCTGTGTAGTCGAGGATGCTCTTGACCTCCTAATCTCCCTCCCTCTACCTCCCAATGCTGAGATTACATGTACACATGACCACACCCATAATGCTCCTTTCCTTGGACTCCTGGAAAAGCAAACAGAAGTCGGGCTTTCTCGCTGCTCCCCCATCTCTTTTACTGTTAATTAACTAATTAAATGTGTGTGGTGTTGTGCTTGCATGTGTGTCTGTGAACCACATGTGTGCTGTGTCCTTGGGGGTCAGAAAAGTTTGTCATATTCCCTGGAACTAGAGCTACAGACAGCTGTGGGTACTAGGAACTGAACCTAGACCCTCTGGAAGAACAGCTGTGCTCTTAACTGCTGAGCCATCTCTCTAGTCCACTTTCATTTTTTAATATAGATTCTAACTGTCATCCCAAGCTGGCTTGAGACTTGCAGGCCTCCAAAAGGTTACTTTGAACAGTTGTTTTTGTTCTTTAAAAATGCCATCCTTGCCGGGCATTGGTGGCACACACCTTTAATCCCAGCACTCGGGAGCCAGAGCCAGGCGGATCTCTGTGAGTTTGAGGCCAGCCTGGG